TTTTAAAAGAATTTTCTGATTGTCTCCTCGTGTATTAGGAGCTGAAACACCTCCTCGCACATTATAACCTACTGATACCAAATTGGAAAAATTTAAAAAGCAATTTGGCTTCGAAATATTTCTGTGGGTGATGGGAAACGACCTCCTCGACTATTATGTTTTCCTGGTAGCCAGACAAAATTTTAAAAGAATTTTCTGATTGTCCCCTCGTGTATTAGGAGCTGAAACTCCTCCTCGCACATTCTAACCTCATGATACCAAATTGGAAAAATTTAAAAAGCAATTTGGCTTCGAAATATTTTTGTGGGTGATGGGAAACGACCTCCTCGACTATTATGTTCTCCTGGTAGTCAGACAAAATTTTACATAATTTTCTGATTGGCTCTTCGTGTATTAGGAGCTGAAACACCTCCTCGCACATTATAACCTCCTGATACCAAATTGGAAAAGATTTAAAACGAAATTTGGCTTCGAAATATTTTTGTGGGTGATGGGAAAAGACCTTCTCGACTGTTATGTTCTCCTGGTAGCTACATAAAATTTTACAATAAGTTTCTGATTGGTTCTTCGTGTGTTAGTAGCTGAAACACCTCCTCGCACTTTATAACCTCCTGATACCAAATTGGAAAAATTTAAAACGAAATTTGGCTTCCAAATACTTTTGTGTGTGATGGGAAAAGACCTCCTCGACTATTATGTTCTCCTGGTAGCCAGACAAAATTTTACAATAATTTTCTGATTGGCCCTTCGTGTATTAGGAGCTGAAACACCTTCTCGCATATTATAACCTCCTGATACCAAATTGGAAAAGATTTAAAACGAAATTTGGCTTCGAAATATTTTTGTGGGTGATGGGAAAAGACCTTCTCGACTGATATGTTCTCCTGGTAGCTACATAAAATTTTACAATAAGTTTCTGATTGGTTCTTCGTGTGTTAGTAGCTAAAACACCTCCTCGCACTTTATAACCTCCTGATACCAAATTGGAAAAATTTAAAACGAAATTTGGCTTCCAAATACTTTTGTGTGTGATGGGAAAAGACCTCCTCGACTATTATGTTCTCCTGGTAGCCAGACAAAATTTTAAAAGAATTTTCTGAATGTCCCCTCGTGTATTAGGAGTTGAAACCTCTCCTCGCACATTATATTCTCCTGATACCAAATTGGAAAGATTTAAACGAAATTTGGCTTCGAAATATTTTTGTGGGTGATGGGAAAAGACCTCCTCGACTATTATGTTCTCCTGGTAGCCAGACAAAATTTTACAAGAATTTTCTGATTGGCACTTCGTGTATTAGGAGCTGAAACATCTCCTCCCACTTTATAACCTTCTGATACCAAATTGGAAGAGATTTAAAACGAAATTTGGCTTCGAAATGTTTTTGTGGGTGATGGGAAAATACCTCCTATGTTCTCCTGGTAGCCAGACAAAATTTTAAATGAATTTTCTGATTGTCCCTTCGTGTATTAGGAGCTGAAACACCTCCTCGCACATTATAACCTCCTGATACCAAATTGGAAAAGATTAAAACGAAATTTGGCTTCGAAATATTTTTGTGGGTGATGGGAAAAGACCTCCTCGACTATTATGTTCTCCTGGTAGCCGGACAAAATTTTAAAGAATTTTCTGATTGTCCCCTCGTGTATTAGGAGCTGAAACACCTCCTCGCACATTATAACCTCCTGATACCAAATTCGAAAAGATTTAAAACGAAATTTGTCTTCGAAATATTTTTGTGGGTGATGGGAAAAGACCTCCTCGACTATTATGTTCTCCTGGTAGCCAGACAAAATTTTACAATAATTTTCTGATTGGCCCTTCGTGTATTAGGAGCTGAAACACCTCCTCGCACATTATAACCTCCTGATACCAAATTGGAAAAGATTTAAACCAAAATTTGGCTTCGAAATATTCTTGTGGGTGATGGGAAAAGACCTCCTCGACTATTATGTTCTCCTGGTAGCCAGACAAAATTATACAATAATTTTATGATTGGCCCTTCGTGTATTAGGAGCTTAAACACTTCCTCGCACATTATAACCTCCTGATACCAAATTGGAAAAGATTTAAAGCGAAATTTGGCTTCGAAATATTTTTGTGAGTGATGGGAAAAGACCTCCTCGACTATTATGTTCTCCTGGTAGCCAGACAAAATTTTCTGATTGTCCCCTCGTGTATTAGGAGCTGAAACACCTCCTCGCACATTATAACCTCCTGATACCAAATTGGAAAAGATTTAAGACAAAATTTGGCTTCAATATATTTTTTTGGGTGATGGGAAAAGACCTCCTCAAATATTATGTTCTCCTGGTAGCCAGACAAAATTTTATAAAGATTTTCTGATTGGCACTTCGTGTATTAGGAGCTGAAACACCTCCTCGCACATTATAACCTCCTGATACCAAATTGGAAAAGATTTAAAACGAAATTTGGCTTCGAAATATTTTTGTGTGTGGGAAGGGTGGAATGCGAGGGTTGGCTAGTGTTATGTTCCGCATGTTCTTCTGTGACTGTGTTAGAGCAGAGGTTTTTCCCGCGCAGTGCACCACTCCTGTAGTCCGATTCCAGCGTCTCCTCTCGTCATTCGTCATCGAACCGTAAAAGTGCTCGACCCTGGCTCATTACGGTGGTACCGACTTTGTGCATGGTTCACCTTGGCACTTACATAAAATACGTTTGGTCGTTTTCATGTGGGTACCATAAGTAAACGTTTTTTGGGAGGAACGATCTGCGGAGGTATGAAATACAACGGAATTGATATTTTAACTTGTAAAGGACAGTGGAGCAGTGAAGGAAATTTCAGCGTAGAATTGTGCAATTACATTAAGTCCAAATTCACAATACTTTTTTCATTTAACATTCATTAATTGAAGTGAATACATAATACACTTGCGTGTGGTCTAATTGCTTCGAAATAAATGCTAAGGGCATGCTTTAGGGGCAAGACTTAATTAAGATTAACATTGACTCAATTGTGCGTTACTCTTTACTAATGTTAATAAGAATTTAGCCTTTGCGCGATTACGTGTCCGGATAACGTCAATTATTTGTAATTGGAGTGAAGTTTGTCCAAATATGCGAGCAGCTAACGTTAATTGTATTAAATTTCGCTGAGAATGAATATTATTCCCTTTTCCTTGTTTCTCATTTATTTGCCTTTATGTAAAATTAAATTTTATTACATAATGGACACAAATTGGAGGATTTCACAGAATTTTGTTCTGGTTTAGGGTAGTTGAAGACAGTAAGACCGGGATTGAACCTGAAACTTTGGTTCCGCAAAGTGCAGGAGATTTCACTGCAGCTGTCAGTGAGGCCATAATTGAGTCTTAAATTTAGGTTCCGTAGGCTGGTTCGTGGTTGACTGAAAGTTAAGGGCTGAGTCTACTACAAAGAAGTGCGCTGATGAAGCATCAGAGGCAGGATCAACAATACCAAATCGCTTTTAGAGTGAAATAAAAGATCCAGAAGGACGACCAGGAAGCAGAGGCTTACCATTAGCTCAATTTCGCCGCTCTTCAAACTGGAGCCGCCCTGAGATCGATCGTTCAATATCGCCACGCTGATATCCTTCTCCTCGTCCTTAATCGCGATCCTCGACGTTACCGGGTAGTAATTTCCGCTGATCGGCTGTTCGTTCGTGTAGGCGTAGGTGGGGCGCGTGTTACGCGTGCGCTTCACGAGCTGTCGGCCGTTGGAGTCGGTATAGAAGGTCGCGCCGCTATTCAAATCGGTGGTATATCGCGTGATCACCTCCACCCCCAAATTGTCGCTGCAACGCGTCGTGACGGTTGAAAGACAAGCGCAAAGCCAGAAACTTACACGTAACCGAGCGGTCCCACGATCCAATCGAACTCGACGTAGTTCGCGTCTTTGTAAACCCGAATGACCTGCTTGAGCCAGTCGGCGTACGTCTGGTGCACTTCGTCGTAGAGCTCGCCTTTGTACGTGGAAAACTTGACTTGATCCCCGATCACTTGCGCAACCGTGCCGGGCACAGGGCGGAAAATGTAAGCGCCGGACGCACGCACTCCATCGGTACGATTGCTCGCCTTGTAATAGAGGAACTGCTGGGAAACCGACTGCCGTACACCGTTAAGGGTAACCGACTTAAGCAGGCCCGTGGCTTGGTCAAGTTCGATGCCCGTGGTCTGAAAGTTTTAGTTTAATTAAGAGTTTGAAAGGTAAATACTTACGCTTGTGCCCAGGGTAGTATCGAGTGTCGGTTTTATTAAGTTTGGCTCGTTGACTTTTTGATCTTCTTTGACTACGTAGAAGTAATTGACGCCAAGAGGTCCAATGTCTTTGACTTCGAAGGTGAGCTCGTAAAGTGACGCCGTTCCGGGTACATTGGGGAAGGTGTCGATTACTGGGGATATTTGGGCTGGTATCTTTCCACCTATACATTGACATTGAGGTATAGCGTTGGCTGTATTGGCTTCCATAGTTTTGAATTTCCCGCGCAACAAAGAACAATTTTTAAAGGGTAAGTTTATAAGGGGATTATTTTCAATACGTACTTCGTTAATTACTAAGATATCACGTGGGAGGGATTTCCACTTTTGAGTTTTTTTTGTTTGATTTTGATCTTTAAGTGAACACAGAAGGGGTCCGTTAACTTGGCCCCCCCTCCACTGTTAGATTTGATAGTCGTATTATTTTAAAATGAATGCGCTTGTTATGCGCTCATATGCGCCACCGATAATAACTCTTGCGCCATTATCGTTTTTTAGAAATCCGAAAAAACATTGGGGGGGGGGGGGGACCGTAGCCCCCTCAGTACGTATTTTGTCGCTTGTAACTAGGTCACCTGATACATTTGGTTATGCGCTCAATTGCGCCACTTGAATTAAAGCTAGCGCCATTACGGTTAAGCCATAAAAAATTTTTAAAAAGTGGGGGGGGGCTAACTTAACGTTTTCAAAAGTTACGTTTTTTAACATGTTTTTTCTACTACATCGTACCTTTCATCATGCGCTAAAATGCGCCGTAAACAAAAATCTTGGCGCCATTATAGTGTTTCAGAAACACTACAGGGTGTTTTTTTTGGGAGCGTTAGTTAAACGATTCTGGGAAAGTAAAATAGGTAGGTTTTTAAAAATTTGTATTTAGGAGTTACTCCGAAGGCCGAATCGATGTAAAATATTTTCAAAATGGCCGCACTTCCGGAAA